GTCCTCAAATAGTCTTTGACTATTTTTATCCTTTTTCCAGTCTTTTCTCTTTATTAAAAAAGTTGTACGCTGTAGCTGCTCTCTGTGGTTCAATCATGTAGAAGAAGAAAGTAATTATTCTGAAGAATCTGCAAGGGTTAACATCTGATTATTAAAAAAACAGCTCCAAACAAAATACCCAAAACCCTCTGCAAATCTGCACTTTTGCAACCACCTTCCCCATCCCCAAAAATTGTAGCGAACAGTCTGTTAGGGTGGTTGTTACTGTGTCATAATATTGGATTATTGTATTTACAGGAGTCTTAAAAATAAGTTTAAGCTATTTGCATTGTAACTTGATAAATGTCAGCGTGTTGTGGAAATGTCCGTGATTGAGCTAAATGTGGACTGAATGAAAACATTAAGATCTCTGTATATCAGCTTGCTTGCTGGGAATTATTTTTGCCTTTCTTATTCTGTAAGTAAGGCGAATTACCCAATATTTCACAAAGATTCTTATCTCTGGATATGCCCTTGGAATCGTGTTTCCACAGCAACACAAAGCTACTGACAAAAAAAAAATCCCTTTTAAACTTCAAACCAGTCTTTTATTTAGAGTTGTAATTAGGATGTTTGCCGGTAGCATTGCGTATTTTGTGTGTGTGTGCTGAGAGCAGCCTGTAAAACAGCCACGAGGTGAATAATCCTGGAGATGCTGGGAGAACATCCCGCGGTGGGGGAAGGAGCAGGGAGTTGTTGTCGGTGTGCAGGGATCAGGCACTGCCAGGGCTGGCTCCTCTCCTGCAGCGTGCTCTCACTTGTTCCAGCTCTGCCCCAGTGCAACGCGCGGGGAATAGCAATGGGTGAGGATCATGGGGCAGGCATTGCGGGCAGGAGGGGCTGAGCTTGGCACTGGGCCACACGTGCCTGGTGAGGGCTCCCCTTGCCCTTGCCTTGCCTGGCGTTCGTGGCAGAGGGGCCCGAGGCCGCCTGGGCAGCGCTGTGGGCTCGGGGCCGCTCTGGTCACTGCTCCTGGAAGCGGCCCCGCCCTGCGCTTCTGCTTAAAAAGGAAGTTGTACCAGACAGTAGAAGGATAAAAACTGGCTTTAGAAGTTATGTGGTGCAACTTCTTGGGTTATAAATGCTCATTTGTTTATTTTGTTTTATTTAGTCAAAACATTGTTATGTATTTACAAGATACTTAAAATCGGGAATGATAAACTCTGCTGCTCGGGCTTGTATTGATTTTCAGACGATGTTGCCAAAGTATCTAAATAACGGTGCCATTGCAGGTTGTCACAGTTTAGTAACCATGGCTTGAAATAGGAATAATATTGTGGCTACAACACTTGGGCAGTTGCAAAATCTATATTTAAATTAATGACATTACAGATAAATAGCACTCACAGCTCAATGGTTGCTTCAGCTTGTGAGACTGCAAATGATTGGGGTGGAAATAAATCCTCCCTTCTAAATATTGAAAGTGTTGGTGTCTAGATTCATCATAATGGGACGGTTCTGTGGGTGATGATCAGTACATGTCCTTAACTACTAGAAGCTAAAAGGAATAAACTGGCACTCCAAGAGTTCTTAATAAGAGAACTGTTATTCCCACTTTACAGATTTTTTTCTTCTCTGGAAAAAATGTCAAGATAATAGAAACTATTCCTGACTTCTGAAGATGTCCCAGTTAACTGCTTCATTGCAAATATAACCAGCTGTTGTTTGGTTTAGTAGAAGCTGGCAGCCCAGACAAAGAGGTTACACTGTGCACACTGGGACAGCACTACCAGAATGCAAATAATCTAAATTTAGGATGTGCTGTGGAGCTGATCCCGGTCGGACTGCAGGGGGAGCACGGGCGATCAGGAGTTGCACATGAGATCGGTGATTGCGGCTGCAGCCCGCAGGGACGAGCCGTGCACGGGCTGCAGGGCGATGCACCGGGGCCTGCATTGCTCCTTCAGGGAGGTTTTTTTTGCAGCTACTGGAATGCACACTCTGAGCAGCGCATTCCTGCAGCAGAGCTCTGGGAGGAGTGTGTCAATCTGCAGGCAGTGAACGGTGGGATGGGGGGAAAGCTTGGGAGTGGCTCAGTCTGCCCTACAGAGGACCCAGGGCTGGGGGTTGAAGGGGTTTCCTGCATCGTCAGTCACTTATTTCCATGGGGCTTCATAGGAGGGCTCTGGTTGTAGCCTGACACTTCAGTTCCACTAAAGTTCAGCCTCATGTGCAGCTTTGACACTTTCCTATAGCACGTGTCAAATCGAGAAAGCATTTTTGAAGGGTCACAGAGTTTACTTAAGCAGTATGTGCTTTAAGGGCTGTGGCTGAGAAAGTGAAATGGTGTTAACTAGGTAATACAGATGCTCAGTGTACCTGCATTATGCATGACATTTAAAATGTTATGCACCAGCAAGTGTACGTGACTGCTTGTATGATTAGCTTCTTGCTCATAGAAGTTGAGATAATCTCTTGGATGTTTAATCAACTTACAGAAAGGCTTATATTTCAAAAAATGTGACATCAGAAATAAATCCAGTGTCCCTTTTAATTTTTCAACTAGATAATATTTCAGTTTTGCTCCCCTCAGCTGAGGCAATGGAAGCTTAGCTGTGCAAGAGATGACTGTATGGAGAAGGTACCCTGGAAACTGATTGCATCTTTATTCCAAATATGCAGCTTTTTCCCTCAGTGAACCAGGTGTATTATAATTGATCTCTCAGAAAGCAAAATTAGCCATCCTTTTCATTAGCCATCATTTATGACAGCATAAACCTTTTGACAAGTAATGCTTAGGCCTGTAGGTGAAACACTACAAGAGAGGAAATCTTGGTATATTTAATTGATAAATTCATGTTCATTTAATCTGTACAAGGAAAGATAACGTATTTTCCATCAATAAGCAACCCTTGCAAAGCAATAACTGATTTATCAAATATTTTAAGAGACTGGGAGCTTTTATTTAAGCAGCATCAATGGGTAAATATTGGCATTTTGCCTTTTTGTACTCTGCATAGCTGCTGTTGTCCAGTCCTTTGAAAGGAAGTAAGATTCTGCATTGTGGCAGAAAAAATGCTCAGTTCAGTACAGAGGAGGAGGCAGGAGATTTGTTTATAATGATGAAATGGCCCGTAGGATTCTTTCATTTCTTTCCCAAATCCAGGTTGTTTGTGCTTCAGAGTTATTTCTGGTTTTGTTTTCTGCTTGTGACAGACCTCACTGGTCTATTGTAAACACCACAGGTGATGAGCTAAGAAAATTACTGGAGCTCAAGTGCTCTTGGAGGCACTGCCAAGTTCCACTCACAGCACTTGGTTATTATCTGTTTTGGGACTGAGGAACTGCTAATGTGTTATCTATACATATGCAGCAGCAACAGTTGTAATGAATACTTGCTCAGCATGTGGCATTTCAAAGCTCCCCATGGAGCATTTGAGTTCAGTGTTTCTAGAGGCAAATAAATGGTACAGGTCAGGGCTGGGGATGCAAGCAGGTCAAAGGGATTGAGTGGGAAAACTGTGCAAAAAGGATGTTACAGTTACAGATGTAACTGCATGTGCTGTATGAAGATCTTCCTGATGACCCTAATTGACTGAGTTATATGCCCATCTGAATAATGAAAGTGAGAAATTTTAAAGTTTTTCATCCAGTGATGACAGTACCATCTCAAAAACACCCTGTTACACCATAGTTCTGCTGAGTTGTCAAAGAGCCTTGATGTGGCCAGGCATTTGAATTCCTATAAGTTCTCCTTTTCTAATTGGATTTTTGCATGTTATTCTGCTTTACCTGGTCACCAGGTACCTGGACATCTCAGCAGAGAAAGGCAAATTAAAAGTGTATCAAAGAAAGTTCTGGGACTCAATTGTAGAAAACTGGTAGGATGTAAAGCCTCCTCAGCTAGTATGATTATATTTTTATATTAAATAGTTGAGGCTAACAGAAATGTATGGAATGTAGGCTTGATTATTTTTTAATTTCCTAATAATTCAGTAGCAGGCTTGAGTAGGGACAAGAACCATACAAACACATCTAAATTTTAATTAATTAAATTAACATATACTTATACAGTGGAGGTTATGATAATGAGATGCTTTGTCATTTCTATAAACAAGACCATAGAAAACATACTAAAACTTGTTAGGATTCATAGTCCAGAATTTAGAAAATCAGGTATATTTTACTGAGACTTTTAATTAGGCTCAGGCTGTGATACTCCCCATGAATGCATAGGCATGTTGAACAGAGATACTATTTATTGAGCCTGTTTGTTGGTGTAGCTGGGAATGGAGTTCTGAGCTCCTGGAAGGAGCCATGGAAATGTAGGAGGCAGTGAGTTCCTCACCATGGCTCACAGTCACTGTGATCCCCATTGTGCTGCTGCCTGCTCCCACTCCATGTGTGTGCCTGATCCAGCTTGCTTTCCTCAGGCTCTTCTTACCTTTGGAATTGCCCTTGGCAAGGTGTTGTCACAAATTCTCCATCCCTTTGGTTCTTCCATGTCTGTTGTGGAGGTGCTGACAGTGTAGATTGATGGAAGCATGAAAGATTGTGACAACTGCTCTTACTTGTGGGTCTGGACACAGGATGTGGTATTCTGCTGCTCAAGAGATGATTTCTGAAGGGTTTTCTGCACCCCACAGTGAATGGGTTAACTCTGGATGAACTTTCTCAAACTTCTGATGATTGCAGCATGTAGAAAAAAACTCAGACTTGGTTGTTGGGCAGGCTGATAAAGAGGACAAATACCAAATACCTTTTCCTTTGTGCAGGACCCATGAATCAGAGACTCCAAGTCAGCTGGGAAAGCCAGCGGGTAGAGACCCAAATAGGCTGGTGAAAGAACAACAGTGCTTTGTCAGTTCACCAAACTAAAAGATCTGTCACTGTCACCTCTCCCCATTTGATAAAAATAAATGTAAACAAAATGCACCACCCCTGTATTAAATGAATTCACATTCTTTCTTTCTGAATTTAATTAATGTTCTTTGTAATTGATGTTATTGATTCTCTTCTAGTTCTGCTTATGATAACGTCAACAAAGTTCGAGTTGCTATAAAGAAAATCAGTCCTTTTGAGCACCAGACATACTGCCAGAGAACTCTGAGAGAGATCAAGATCCTGCTGCGCTTCAGGCATGAGAATATTATTGGAATAAATGACATTATCAGAGCTCCAACTATTGAACAGATGAAAGATGTGTATCCTTTAAAAGTGTTTTTGGCATCATTAGTAATGGTTGCCTCCTCTCTTTTGATTGTTTCTTCCCTTCATGCTCTCCCTTCCCAAATATTAATAAAAGTTGGCTCTATTATTGTAAATCAAAAGGGAAGTTAATAGTATTTGATCAGTTTGTAGTTTTGATGTAGATGAGCACTAGTTTAATTCTTTCTTTTCCAGGAAAAAAGAATAATTTCTATCTTCCAAGGCAAAGAACTCAACATTCTAGAGAAGAATTAGTTTAGTCACATCATTCTAAAACTGTATTTGCTCTTAGTAGAGCTGCTGTTACAACTGGTTGCTTTGATGAGAAAGTAAAATGACCAGACTGCTATGATTGTCTCAAATGTTCTTGAATTACTCGGGAAGAAAATTTTACTCAACTCATTCCTGTTGAAGCAAAAAAGACCAAAAGAGCCCCTTCTTTTAATTTTCATTGCAATCTTATTAAAAAAATAATCTGAATGAGTATATTGGGATTTAATTTTGGTAAGAGAAGGACTATTGTGTTCAATGTAGCATAATAAATATATATAGAGAAGAACAGCTGAATTTTTAGAGTGAGGAGATGGTAGAGAAAATTGATCAGAAATGATGAGATCTTCTACATTCCTGCTTTTATGCAACTGCAAACAAGTATCTTGGAAGCTTATTACTCATTAACCAAAACCCACCCTTTGTTTCTTGGCAAGCAGGATAGGAATCAGATGAAATTGAGATTCTAATAAAGTCAAGCTCTGCTATGAAGAAATAGAGGTTTATGATGATTAATTTGAGAGGATGACATGCTGGTGCCTTTTTATTCTATAAAGGGCTACATCATGTATCAGGATTGATTGGATTCCAAGCTTCTAAAGCAAGAATCAGCTACACAATGTCATAATTGTCATCAAACATCCAAATAAGAGAGAAAAGATGTTCTAGAGGTTTCCTTGGGTACTATATGTTGATACCTGATATGACACCGAGTTTTTTTGCTGCCTTACATCTAATACCCCACAGATACATTGTGCAAGATCTTATGGAGACAGATCTTTACAAGCTCCTAAAGACTCAACACCTCAGCAATGACCACATTTGTTACTTCCTTTACCAGATTCTGAGAGGGTTAAAATATATCCACTCAGCCAATGTGCTTCACCGTGACCTCAAACCTTCCAACCTGCTGCTTAACACCACGTGTGATCTCAAGGTGAGTTGAAATTTCTTACAGATTTTCCTGCCATGGTTTTCATAAACAAACTGCTGTAACCATGAATGTGGGGTTTTTACTGGGTATCAGTGTGGTTTTTGTCCTGGAAAGATTGCCAAAACATTATTTGGTTTGATGAAATAATTATCAAGATTTGAGTGACTAAGAATCTGTTAGACTTCTGTAATGAGTGCATCACTGTTTCCATCTGGAGGCTGACTTGGAAACAGCCTCTTTGAAAGCTGGGTGAAAATACTGATCTGAAGCAGCATCATGTTTACCTCAAAACTCAGAACTGTGTATGTTTCAAGATTTGGTTTCTCTGTTTACACTGCTAATGTTTTGTTGTTGGAAAAGGACTTCATATTAGTGGGCAGCTAAAGCAGCATGTGAGATTCAGTGCTGATTAAATGCATGGCAATTACTTAGGGAGGGAATGTTCCTAATTTGCATTTCCAGTGATCAGCTCTGTACTCGTTAATACTACAGAAGGATGAGCTTAGAGCTGTTATGATTCTTGGAAAATGTCAGCTCAATGCTTAGTGGCATTCAGTAAAGCAAACCAAGTGTGAAGAAATAGAACAGAAATAGAGAATAAAAACTGAAAACATGCCATTCTCTACCTTTCAGTTGGTTTTGAGTCTGTGATTGTAGTTATTACATTTCTTCCAGTGATATGAGGAGAGCAGGATTTCAAAGTACTGCTCTCCATAACACGAAGAGCTGTTTAGCCTGGGTCTCCTCTGCTGGAACATGCTGCATGAGGAGCAGAGGAATCCAGTAGGATTTGCCAACATTGATAACATTGTCAGTGGCACAGGGACAGTGACTGGGGAGCAGCTGTGCTCACTCTCTGTACCTACTGAAAAGGCTGGGAGGGAGGAAGGGAGCAGGTGAAGTTTACTTGCAGCATTGTTAAGCTGTGGAATTTGGTATCACAGAGCACTCTAGATACTGCAGTTTTTAAAAAACCACCAAGCAAGTTAGCAGAAAAACCCTCATTGAGTGCTCCCTGTGGTTTAGAGTCCCACAGTGGCAGATCCATGGAAGATGAGAGAGGCATTGGAATTTGTTTCCCTTTTCAGTGTATATATAAATATAATGTATATATTTCATGTATTTGCTGCTGGCCACTGATGGAGTGGAATTGCTGAGTTACAGTGCTTGATCCCAGCTGGTACAACTGTGTTTGTGGAATACTGTGTTGCTCCTAATTACCCTTTGGTTTTTAGTGTAGCTCTAACTTTCTCAATAAGCAAACCACAAAATAAAAATACCCTCTTCAAAGTGTGAGCCAGTTGTGGGCTGTACAGGTTTGTCACAATTCCAAGAGTGTCACACAATCCCTTGCTCTTTGTATGCTGGTGCATTCTAAAGACTGGCTACATCATCAATTCTGTCTATATAATGAACACTCACAATTATTAAATGACCAAGAATTGTTACTTCCTACAGCAGGCATGAAAAGGTGATGAGAGGGATTTTTTTAAAGGAAAACTGCAAGTTAGTGTTTGTTTCATGATTTTACCAGTTACACAGGAGATGCAACTGTTTGAACCACCATCTTATCAGTAACAGTTAAGCTTAATTTTTCTGTTTCCTTTTATACAAATACACAGAGGCCCAGGCTACTCAACAATACAACTGCAGATATTTCAGTATATTAGTAGTACTGTTGGTGTCATTTCATTTGCTTAGTAAATGGTTGCATGTACACGATCCTCCTAAATCTTCCCATCTGCTTGATAGCTTCATCCAATTTTAAGCCATCTCTGTTTAAAAAACCCTGATACTGGTTGCAAGAACATTGTTTTCAAGAAGTGGAAGCTAAATATATAGATAGGATGCTGGTTTTATGTATTATTTTAAAATTTATTAAGCAGGGAAGTAATTTCTTCTGTCTCAGTAGCATCTGTTCTGTCTCTCCAAGGCATGAAGTACTGACTGACATACCTGAGTCTTTCATTATGTAGTTTTTTATTCTCCGCTATGACTTAGTGAAAATGCCAAGAAAATTGGCCTGTTATTATATTGCTCTCAGATTATTTATTTTTTCATTGTTTTCATTCACGTGGAGAAGCCTAAAAAGCAACTCCTGGTGCTTTGCCTGCTGTGCATCATCATTTGCACGGGCCCAGTGTCCCCAGAGCCCCTCAGCAGGGCAGCTGCTCTCTGGGTGTCCTTGGGCACAGGGGGAGAGGGGTCTGCCCTCCCCAGCTGCAGCCAGGGCTGTGCCTCCCTGTCACCCTGTGCTGTCACCCTGTGCTGTCACCCTGTGCTGTCACCCTGTGCTGTCACCCCTGCCAGCTCTGCAGCCAAAACCTCTTCCTTGCAGCTTCAACCTTGAAGTCTTTCTCGCTAGTGGTGTTTCTGCTTTTCTGCTTAACCTGTTTCTGCTCCAGTCAGCAGGGGCTTTTTGTCATTTTAATGAGCTCTCTTTGTCATTATTCTTCCTTTCCATCCCATGAGCATTTTTCTACTTGAGTTGAGAGATTCAGAGGCATCTTCTGTAATTCAGTTCTTGCTTTTCACATTGGACCAGAGAATGTCTTTCTTCTTTTGTTTTAATGTGGCAAACCCTAGTGCTTTGCTTTTGTGTAATGCTGAAATTCTGCACAAGTCCCTTTGCCTGTAATCTTATCTAGCTTTCTCGAGGTTAGGAGGAAGAGATTACAACAATTTTGCCTGCTGCATAATTATTTTCTGAAGTCTCTAAGCTGTCCTCTACAGTTTCTTTGTTTCTGTCTTTAGAGGAGGCTCTTCTGATTATTTGTACTGAGTCACTTTATGTAAGCTAATTGCACACAAGGCAGCTCCTCTGTTCCTGTAGCCTGGCAGAACCTTGCCATGCTTTAGAAAGGTTCTTTTTGGGGTTGTTTTCTAAGGATCCAAGGAGCTGGGTTTATTTTTTTAATATGTAGCTAAAGTAATGGCATCCAGCTTGGCTTATGGCATTCACCATTGCCTTTCCTCCAGACCCTCTGTGGAACAGTCAGCTGCTGAGTCAGCAGATTTTAGTCAGGTGAAGGATTTCTTCCCTAACTGATCTGTCAGTTATTTCTCTGACAGGGTGTCCCTACAGAAAATTTAAGAAATATCTGCCAGGGCAAAGGGAGGTTTCTGTGGTTGTGGTAGGATTTTCCATTACTGACTTTATTGACTGCAGCCTATTTTCACTTCACATTTTCAATATAATCACTGTAGACAATTAACTATCTAAGAGTAAATATTATAAAGCAAATGTAGCAGAGGAACTTCCCACTGTTTGCCACTCCTGCATTTGATGCCTGGTTTTCCTGAAAGTATGTATTCTTTCATGGAAATACACTTTGTATGGCAATCATAACCTGGTTATTTTTTGGGGGGCAGCAGAAGCTTGTGAATGTGTCTGATGTGCCACTCATCAACCTTGCCATTGACCTTTGGGATGGTAAGAAAGGAGCAGCTGCTCTGCTCTACAGCAGTCTGTCTTCACATTTTCAATTTTCTTAATTTCTCTCTAGACACTGAATAGCTCTGAAAACCATGGAGCCTCCTTACCAGAGCATAACTAAAACCACCTTTTACTTTTTGCTGAACTCACTAGTCTAAATTGGTGTTTGTTTTTCTTTTCATAGTTAGATAAAACTGTTTTCCTTATAAGGGCTTGAGAACTATTTTCTTGCTTGTGTTTTGTTTTTGGGGGATTTTTTTTTTTTGTCTTTTAGGCTTATGCTTCCTTCAACAGCCCATAATCTCTCCAGCCTACCATCATCTCATGATTGGATAGGTTGTTTCTTCTGCAAAGATGCAGTTATGATGATAGCTTTTGTAAAATAGAGTGTTGAGCTTGGTTGCATATGTGTTGGTTGCTAATTAGGTTTTCTGGAAGTCTTAATTGCTATTCTTTTTGTTTTCTGGTGAGTTTCTGAGAGGTTGGAGCAGTGTATCTTTGCCTGTTTGGCAAAGCTGCTGTAAGCAAGCCTGTAGTGGAACATAAATTGTGAACTATTTCTTATTTATTCTTACTGGCCCCTGAATGGCAGTTGGATGTTCTTTGTAGTTGATCCAAAACATTGTTCTTCACCTTTGTGCAATAACTTTTCTAAAAGCATAGGTTGCCATCTCTGCATTTGTGGGTGTTACATTGATTGGGGAATGGTGAATCAGTAATGTTATATGTGTGTCTTATGTGCCTTTTTTTTTCCTTTTCTCTCAAACCAGATTTGTGACTTTGGATTGGCTCGCGTTGCAGATCCCGACCATGATCACACAGGATTCCTGACAGAGTACGTGGCCACACGTTGGTACAGGGCTCCTGAAATCATGCTGAATTCTAAGGTAAGGCCACAGGGAGCTGCTGGGGTGCTGCTGTTGCTGCTTTTTCCCTTGTGAGTTCCAGCTGTGCTTGGAGCAGCGAGCCCTTGTGTGTTTGTAGGATCAGAACACACGCACAGTCTTGGGGAGGAGTGGGCATGGTTTCCAGTAGAGCTGCTGGCTTGAAATAAATTGTGATTCCAGAATCAATTACTGGGTACTAGAACTGAGAAATCACGTGCTCAGCTTCCCACACCTCCAGTTCCTTGCCAGTCATGAGACTGCTTCCATCACCTGCTGTGCCACTGAGCAGGACAGGAGTGCTGGAATGAGCATTCTGCTGCTGCCTCCATCAAGGCTGCAAATGTTGCCTTAATGTCATCTTGACATCTTAATTTAGGTTTAGAATGTATAATGAGGGTGAATCTGCTTCTGAATGAAGGCATGTGACACATAAAAAATGTGTCAGTCTTAATTGCATTCCTATAGTCTCCATGAAATCATTCCTTTGGTTTTTATGTATTTGGAATTACTGTTGTGTTCTGTGGCTGTTTAAGGTGCATCCAGTCCTTGTGTGGGTGGTAGGTGTCCTTCAGAACCTGTGTGCACTCCCACAGTCAGACACCTGTTAGCAAAGCACCTGGGTGGCACCTGGAGCTGTATTTGACATTCTGGGACAGCTGTTGTTCCTGGAGGATTTACAGCTCTTCCAGTTGGTGTGTTTGTTTTGGTGTGTCAGTGGTGTGTCCAAGCACTTTAAGAAAATAGACATCTGACCAATTAAGGGTGTATTCCTCCAGCTTCTTGTGTTTTAAACTCACATCTTGTATTTTAAACATGCACTGAGGCCACAGCATTGGGCTATCCACATCTACTTATCAAAGGCTTTCACAACAAATATATTTTGTGTTTGTAAGAGGGTGGTCAGCTTAAAAACTCCTGACTTAGTGTGTGATTCCTTTTATGATTCTGGCACCTTGAACACAAATGGTGAAGGGATGGCATCCTGAGGAGCTGGAGCCCAGTGGCTGTGGGGTCAGTGGGACAGAGGCTTCCCAGGGCAGGGGCAGTGGCAGCAGCCCAGGCAGGTGTGGCTCTGTCACTGACTGGTGTCACTGCTGTGCCTGTCCCTGGGGATGGCACAGGTTGGCCATACATGGGGGTATCCTACTGTTCCATTGCTGTTACACCCCAGGGACTGCTGTGCTCTCCTCCCAGCATCTTCACCTCCTCCTGCCTGTACAGGGTGTTGTACAGAGCAGCCAAGCAGCAGCCATTGGTTTGGCCATTTCCCCTTTGCCAAAGGCCTCATCCTGGAGTACAGCTTAGATCCCCTCAGGGACAGCTCTTTCACACATGTTCAGCTCTCTGTCAGGGGCTGTGCAATTCAGAATAGCTGGTTTCCAAAATGTTTTAGTTTAAATTGGTTATAGAATTAGGGAATCTCAACAATTTGCAGTTGGTAACAGATTTAGCTAAACTTAAAAAAAAATCCTTTTTGAAAACTGTCTCTTGGAGACTTCAGTTCTTGCTACCCCTTCAAAGTAGTGTTTTGATATATGGTTCTTAACTATTTCATTTGTACAGAAAAATCAAACAGCGTGAGCAAGCACGGCTCATCTAACAAAGAAAAAGATGATTTGTGTGCACTTCCACAGTTTACCAAAGTAACATGTTGCTGCTATTATACAACAATTTGACAAAAATGTGTTTCTGCTTCACTTGCAGGGTTACACCAAGTCTATTGACATCTGGTCAGTGGGCTGCATTCTGGCAGAGATGCTCTCCAACAGACCCATCTTCCCAGGAAAACACTACCTTGACCAACTTAACCATATCCTTGGTAAGCTTTATGGGAAAGCAGCATTCCCACATCCATCTGTCTGTCCATCGTTTCTGCCAGCTGGGCTGGCCTTTCTCCAGTGGGTCACTGTGCAGGGTGTGGATCTGCAGGTGTGTCTGCTCTCCCCTCTTGTTCTTTTTGCAGCAAGTGCTACAGGTAACCATTGTTTTGGGGACAACTGGAGAATACTTAGCAATTTATTTACTACATCAGCAGATATATTTTTAAAACAAAATTTAAAAAAATAAATTAAAAGCTCATATATTATTAGGTCCAGGTAAAATTTTTTAGAATTTCTTTAGGTACACCACTTACTGGGATCTTTCACATTAGAAAACTCAAATCCATTTATTTATTTAACAAATGGTTTTTAGTAAAAGTTTCTAAAAACTACTCAGGTGTTCTCTATCCTTAAAACATTTGGTCTGAAATCCCCTTCCCAGCAGTTTTAATACTGAGTTTTAGCAGATATGATACAGCTGTGTTAATGTGATTTTCACAGAATGCATTTGTTTGTATTCATATATTGTTTGTATTCATATTTTTTAGGTATACTTGGATCCCCTTCCCAAGAAGATTTGAATTGTATAATAAATTTAAAGGCCAGAAACTACTTGCTTTCTCTACCACACAAAAATAAGGTACCATGGAACAGGCTGTTTCCAAACGCTGACCCCAAAGGTATTTTATACTCTATTACATTGTATCAAAGTAATGGCAGGAGGGGAGGTTCTGTAACCTAAGAATTTATCTTTATATTGGAAATAGAACATGCAGGTGCCTTAAAATAGCACTGTAAATCTAATATAAAATCATCAACCAGCACAAAGCCCTCACACTGGTTTATCTTTTTAATGCAATTTTAGTAACTCTAAGATTACCTGTTGTGGAGTTTGGTCTTTAACTGACTTGTGAGATCCAAACTCTTGTCACTGCCCTTGGAAGCACAGTTCATTATTCAACTGCTGATCATCAGCACTGGATTTCAACACTGGCATCAAACAAGTCTTGAACTTTGTTTCTGACATCAGGTAGGGGGCAGCTGCCTGCTGCTGCCCTGGGTAGAGTTTTGCAGACTGTGAGTCACTTGTAGGTTAAACAGGGTCTCCTCAGTGGGTGGGATCCTTAGGTACCATGACAGCTTAAAATTTAATGGGTTAAAAAATTCAGTGAGGATGTGTGGAGCAAAAGTTATAAAAGCAAGGAATATAATAATTGTTAACCTTTCTTAACAAGGCTTTAGTAAAGGGTAAATATGCTTTTTTTTTTGCTAGATAGCTATTAATTTACCTTTTATACTCAACTTTGTGCAGTTTAAGGGTGGTTATATTCACAGTGCAGTGCTCTTTTACCTGCTCTAGCACAATTCCTAAGTCACTTCTTTTTTAACTGATATGATAACTTACTCTTAGTGGATATGATCAGGTACTGAATTACCCTGTAAAAGCTGATTTCTGCAGATGGAACTGTATGGAGCTGATTATCCCTGTCATTGAGGAAAACAGCAGTGATTTATTCTGCTTTTCTAACAGTGCTCATCAGAGTGAGAATCCTCCCTGTGGGCTTTGACAGCTCAGATGGCAGCAGTGCTGCTACCTCAGCTGAGGGGGAATGTGCCACTGGTGCAGCCCCTTGGCAGTGACACCCCTAGGGCAGCTGTGCCAGGGCAGCTGTGCCAGGGCAGCTGTGCCAGGGCAGCTTTCAGGAGCTGGCTGGCACTCAGGGCAGGGACAGCACTGTGCTCTGTGCCCGCCTGGGGCTGAGTGAGGGAACCAGAGCAAAGCACAGAGTGATGGCTCCAGTGATGGCTCCAGTGATGGCTCCAGTGCAGGCCTGAGGCTTTTGGAGCTGCCCTCGAGTGCAGCTGGGTCTCCTGTGCAGTGCTGGGTGCTGCACAGACCCAGAGGAGCTCCCTGCAGTGTGGGGTGATGGTGATGGTGCCTCCCCTCCCCAGGCTGTGCCATGACCTGAGGTCACAGCTGTGCTCCTCATCTTGCTGCAAAGCTGCAGCTGCTGTGCTGCATCAAGAAGCCTCTGTTAAAATTCTGGTTCATAAATGATGTGGTGAGGAAAAGAAATGTGATGGAATTTAGGATACTGCAGATATATTAGGGCTTCTTGCTCCTAGAATCAGGTTTTTCTCTTGTTGGAAAAGGGAGATGTGTTACAGGCACAGTAGCTGACCAACTGCAGTAGCACTGATTTGTGATGTCTGTCCAGAGTTTCACCACACCTCACTCTGTCTTACTGGATCTTCAGGTTCTTTATGGATTCTTTGTCTTCAACAGATTTTGCCTGAGTCTCTTGAATATAAATGTATTTGCATCTTCTCTGGAGAGTATCTTCTGTGCTGCTGGTTGTGCCAGAATATTTCACTGTGATGATCTAGAACTCCTAATGACTTCTGGATGATATTTTCATCTGTAAACAGCCAAGATCTCTTTTCAGAATAAGAACATATTCATAATTATTTATTTCAGAAAAGCTCCATCTTAGTTTGGATTTTGGCACAAAAATCCAAAGCATTTTTCTGAGAGAAGTAAAAGCCTCATCTATTTAATTTCTGTTGTAGTTCAAGCCAGATTGTCCTGTAGGATTTGTTGTGCTTCTTGCCTTGTATCCCTTCTGGGGCTGAAGGGCTTGGGCGGGAGCTGGGCTGGAGCAGGGGGTGCCCAGGGCAGCTGCACCCCAGGAATGCTGAGAGGGGCAGGCACAGCCTCTGCCCAAGTTACAGCTCCAGCAGGGCTGCACTGCCATCAGCACACACCTTGGGCAGTGGGTGTTGTCTGGGTAAGGTCAAGGTTTGTGACACTTTTCTTTTTTGGAGTGTGTATTAAATCCTTGCTCACTTTTTTTCCTCTTAGCACTTGATTTGTTGGATAAAATGTTGACCTTTAATCCCCATAAGAGGATTGAAGTGGAGCAAGCTTTAGCCCATCCATATCTGGAGCAGTATTACGATCCAAGTGATGAGGTAAAGACCTTGTTAAAATGTAAACATTGATAAAATGATCCAGCTGATTATTTTCTACTTTGGTTCAAGGGTAATATTTCTACTGCACAAACAGAGTTGAAGAACAAATTGCATCAATTTACCACAATTTGTATTTCTCACTTCAGTACAACACTCAGGGGATGCCACACAATAAATAGATACTAAAGTGTCCTCCCTCTCCAGAAAATGGAGACTCAGCTCATGTGAGGCCTGGTTTCATGATGTCTGAGGTAAAGGAGGAAAGTGGCTGCGTTTGCCATCAGATTATGCTTTATAAACCTGAGTTGGAACTGGCTGTAGTTTAGGTACAGTTCTGAGGAGATTTCTGGTTCATTTTTGTGAAGAAATAGGGAAGGAGGAAATAACCTGGTTTCCCTTAAGGGCCAGATATATTAATTCCAATTTAAAAAAAATGTTTAAGATAATTTTTTTCTTCAAGTAGATACTGAGTTAAGAGCCTCAAATAAATATTTCAACTTGTAGTTTGGATTTGACCAGCTACTTACTGTACTTGATGTAAAATTTGATAAACTAATACCTAAAGCACACATAGGAGTAACAGGGGGAGTTCTGCCTTGAAGACTGCTCAGTGTTAGATATTTTTGTGAAGAACATTTTCAGACTTTTTCCCCATCCATAAAAGGACTGCATGAAATTGAACAGCATGGTGACATTAAAATAATCATATTTCTTTGTGTTATTAAGCCTGTAGCTGAAGCACCCTTCAAGTTTGATATGGAGTTGGATGACTTGCCGAAGGAAAAGCTGAAAGAATTGATTTTTGAGGAAACTGCAAGATTCCAGCCAGGATACCGATCTTAAATCATGCATAGGTAAAGTCCCAGCAGTAGGGGACACTCGGGCAGGGGGGACATGTGGGACTTTGGTGCTGCTGGTGAAATGTGGGACTTGCCTTTCCCAGTACCCAGGAACTCCCTGTCCAAGGACCTGACCTCAGTCCTGTCCTGTTTCTGAGGGAAGTTTCTGTTTGCCCTCAGCAGGGAAGTGTCCACAGGGAATCCAGGCAGCTGTCCCAGGTGTTTACCTTAGTGTGGGTGCATTTAGGGAACAAGAATTGCATTTCAATAGTGCTGCTTAGAATAAAGGCAGTGGTAATGCTTTGAAATGCAAATTTTATTAAAAAAAAAAAACATTTTAGGGGGCCATGTTCTTCAGATTTTACAGATACATAATTTTACCATGTGGCTTCAAATGCTTTTAAAAAAACCTACTCCTAAATGTAATGTACAGAGGAGAAATCTCTTAAATTATTTTAAAGGAAAAAACACATACACAAAACTTCAGCAGGAGTTATCTTTAGTTTTAAGTAGCTCCCAAATAGTGTGAGTAAATAAGAATAGGTATTTAAATATCCATAAATTAATTATGATTAGCCTTCCTAGCATTTTGAAGATCTGAAAGTTTAATTTAAGATTGAATGTACTGATACTCACTGACTGACTTTTTTTTTTTTAAGTCAATGAACTTAACTGGTCTTCCTGTACCACAAGGCTTGCAAGTCTCAGGAGTTTCATACAAATTGGTCAAACATGGACTTGATTGGAGTACCTGTGAAACTTCTGTGATACTGATAGGGGAAAGTATCAAAGTTTTATGAGTGGAAAGGAAAAACAAGCAAAAGGCAACAGGCTGCCCTGGGTTTCCTGCTTTGTGCTCTGTTTTCCTCCCCCAGAGCAGCATTCTGCCATCACTGCTTTGTGTGGGCAGCTCCAGCAGGAAGGTGAAGTTTTGAGCCAGGACACTTCCCTGCTGCCAGAAATCCACAGCTCTGCTGGCAGTGTGCAGGAGCTTTGTGGCTTTGCTATAAGCAATAATTTTTCTGCACTAAAAATGTGATTTCAGTTTCTGCATTGCATATATCCTCAGGTTTTCATTTAATAATGAATTCATAGGAAAGAAAAAGAAACTGGGGGAAACTTTTAAAAGTTTTTCTTCATTAGGGTAACTGCTGTTGCCACTGGCTTGAATATTTAGATGTATAGAAGCTCACAAATGAACAAATTTCAATTTTTACAAATACTGCATTTTGTTTATTTAAGCTTGCTAGGTGATATTGGAACTGTTGTAATAATTGAAATGTAGGGAAGCCTGAGGTTCACACACTGGATCTATTAGTTGGCATTGTTAATAGAGCAGACCTGGGACACAATAACTGACTGGTGTTCATGTCCCACCCATGTTTTGTGTGTGAGAGCACAGCTGTGCATGTACACATGGTGCAAGAAAGTTACAGAAATCTTTAGGAACAAGATGAAGCCTGTTCCTAATAGGCTGCAGTCTCAAGGAAGGGCAGTGAGTGGTTACTGATGTGGTAAATCATGGTTTGTGATCTCTTGCTTGCCTCATTGCTCAGAGCATACTTACCTAGGTTGTATTAGGGATTAAGGGATAAAAGGATTAGGGATAAAGATATCAGTGATCTGTTGCTAGCAGAAATTTCTGGTTTGATAAAAATGTTACCTTCAAATGCTACTATGCAGAGTTGATTTGGCCAGCACAATACTGAAATTGAAATATTGTACTTAGCTTGGTGAGGATATGCTGGTAATTTGTCCGAGTCATTTGTGGTCAGCATTGCCAGCTCTGCCATAGCACAAGAGTTTAAACAGAGCTGCTTGGCATCCTAGTGAGGGCCAGTCCCCAGGAGCTGCCTTCAAATGCACAGTGCCAGTGTCCTGCTGTGCATTCCTGTTCCCCTGCACACCCCCTGGGCTTCATCAGCCAGCTCCTCTCACTGCGCTGTTTCTCGAGATTCAAAGTGTCCCCTGAGCTGTGGGGTTTGGAATTGAGAAGCAATATGAAAATAACAGATTTTTGGTTCAGACAAACAATGTATTTCATTGATTAGTTGTGTTTAATCTTCCTAATCTTTTGAAGAATTAATAGTTTAAAATGGAATGCCCTGAGATCCACTGTCTCTGAATTCTTTTTTAACATCTGTGGATCCTGCTGGCTCTGGCTGATGGTAAACACAATGTGCACAGAGCACAGAAATAGGAAAAGGTTTTAAAAGGTGATGTTAAACTTCCTTCACTGAAATATGTCTCTGCTCTCTTGTAGGACAAGGACTTAAAGGACTGGGCATGCTCAAATGTTGCTGTTCCTCTTCCCAGTTCTTTATTGTTGGTCATGTCTTGTGGCCTCTCTCAGCTTATCCACTAACTCCTTTGAGCCATTCAGGAGGGCGGTTCCTGGTAGTTTTGGCTTTTCATGCTTTCAATGAATCTTTTAAGCCTGAAGAATTGTAATTGACACTCCTCTGCGTAATGCCCATTGTTGACCTGTTGCAGTACTGTACTGTACGTGCACCTACTGCTGCCGTGTTTTAACTGCTTGCTTTCTGGTTTGAAAGATGCAGTGGTTCCTTTCACTCCTGGATCAATGTCCAAGAAGAGAATCCATTGACCTGTAAGACGTTTACACCATGAACTGTTTTTCTGACTTTACTGAAGTCGCTGGCATTTTTTTTTAGAAAAGCTACTATTCAGGGCACTTTAAGTCAGTGACATCCCAGATTTTTTTTGCACGTCCTTTTTAAATAGAAATGGTTGGTTAGCATCCAGCAGAGTGTACCATTATGCTATGGATTGCAGCATAAGTTGTGTTCATGTTAATCTTGCTTATGCACTTGTTTGGGTGTCCTGTGCTGTACATACAGGTATTCTATCCAGTGTAAGAGCTACATAGGAGCCCAACTTAACTGAATTCATCTAAGAAACATTTTTCCATGTATTGACAAAATTTGTACCTTTTTTTTCCCTGCTTTTCCTAAGAGAGATCATTTAAAGTTTACCCACGCTGGAGGCATAGTACTCCCAAAGTTCTACCGTGCAGTAGTGTTTGTACAGCCTGTGCAAGGCAAGGTGGCAGCTGCAGCTGCTCTTTGCTCCCTGAGTGCTGGAAGGGTTAACACAGACCACGATGGCACCGTGACCCCACGGCCAGTGCTTTTCCTGGGCAAGGCAGCCGTATCTGGTGGCAAGCAAGAAATCAGAATATGATGTTAATTAACTCAGTCTACATCCTGCATACCAATGAAATGCTTCAAATGAGGATTGATAGTTTTGACATTTGAATCTAATCACTGACATTCAGATTCTTGCAGAGAGGAACACTGCATCTTCAAATGAGAAAGTTTGATTTTACTTTTGCTCCTACAGCATGTCAGCATCTCAAGTTCATTTCTTGCAACCTACACTATGGTGATTTGTAATCAAGCCTCCATGAGCTCGTGACATGAAGTACTGTTCTGTTGTCAAGTACTATCAAACTTTTCTGATAATGCTGAGTTAGGACAACCAAACAAAGCTAGCACTAAATAACATTTAAAATTGTATACCTTTTAATGATCTTTTCAAGTATTTGTTACTGAAATTGTATAATGTGGAGTTTACTAGGTGTTATGTTCCAGTGCAGTGCCTCCTTTTCTTTCCCCACTGCTCTCTGTGGTGAGAAATTTGCCTTGTTTAAAATAATTACTGTGCCCTCGCATGACTGTTAAAGCTTTCTGTGCAAAGATGATTGTCTAAGTGCCACATGCCTATGATTGAGAAAAAAAATAATCTATTGTTACCTCTGAGTTGTGTTCAACTGAAATGCTATTCAACAAATAACTTAGGAAAAATAGTTCTATTTTTAGCTTTTCATATCTCTGCTGTCTTTTTCTCATTTTATTTTGGCAGCAGTGAAGAATGGATTGTATAAAGACTGCTTGCTAATATGAACAAAATGCACTTGTAATTCCTGGAAATAAATTTAAATCTTATATCTTCACATTAACATTAAGAATTAGTTTTTGGTTTCCTCTTGGGTAATGTCTTTGAATGGAAATCAGGTTCCATTGCTACTGTAGTACATAAGGATGCTGGCTGGTTAATAACTCCAGGCTTCCTCATACCATTTAGTCTGCTCTTCAGAGAAATCTAGAAAGCCATTAACTTAGACTCCACTAGATAAGGGTGCTTACAAGATTCCATTTCAATTTTTTTTTTCCTATAGTTTAAGTGTTAATCTGCCAAAACTAATTTTTAGTAAGCAAGGGTTCATCATTAAAGGGCATTTTCTATTAGGAAGTTCCTGTGGTACATAAATCTCTGACGTGGGGAACAAATTCGGAGCATTGTCAGGACACTGCACAAGTGATCATGGAATCGTGGTATGGAACCTATGCTAAAAACATTTCTGTAGAAGAAATATGCACTTGACTGTTGATACCAGTGTAGAAATTTCTCTTGACCTTTCTACACATCTTTACCAAAATGCTTTTCTCACTCAGTTTCGAAAAGTTGAAATAGTTCTAGAATCTCTGCTACTTGCATGATCATCATTACAACAGGAATCATTTTTGGCACGGTTGGAAAGATGACTGTTACTGAAATTAGTTTGTAACACCTCGGTTTTAATTTATTAAGGAAGAACTTTGGCAGCTTAATTCACCCTTCTCTTTCCCAATTTTTTTTTTAATACTGTCTTTAATTTGGGATGTTTGGGGAGGTGTAGACTTACCCTTGCATCCTCTCTGAGTGAGAAGCCGAGGATTTGCTTCACCTGATGTCTGGTGCTTTTGGGCTTTCTTCCTTAGCTACTTTTGCTGAATCCAATTGGCATCCATCAGGATCCATAACCACATTCATCAATCTTTTACTGAATTCAGTAAACATTGTTGGGTTGAATTTGTTGATGCATCAAATGCTGAAGCACGAGGTTTTTTTTGGTCAGATTTTAAAAATAGTTTAAAGAAGGTGCCTCTAACAACACTGTGTTAGGTCAGTTATTTCATCATTTTACATTGGGTTCTTTTCTTTATGCAGTTTTTATATTTTAGAGCGGAGAACAGCAACTCTTAATCGAAGTAGCATGCATATTTCATGGTAAAGATGCTTTGGGAATAAGGAATGTAACAGTTCACTGTCAAAAACATTCCAACCTTACAGCTGAAGAAAAATATGCAAACACAAAATTCTCATGGATACTTTGGCAAACAAGCCTCTGACTCTGCTGTCCTGCCTGTGGCCAGACTCTTCCTCACCCCTGTGACACCAGAGCTGGGCCGGGAGCTTCCGGGAGTGGCAGTGGGGACAGACAAAACCTGAGGAGCTGAGCAGGGCTTTCCTTGCAGAATGAGAGAATGAAAAACCTGTTGTTGCTGCCCACTGTAATATGCTACAGTATATTTATACCATGTCAAAGTTGTTTGCTGAGCAACTGTACTATAGATTTAAACTTTATTAATATATATTTGCTTATGTTAGTGTAGTTTATATAGTCCTTGGTTATTGATAAATTTATTGTGTTGTTACAGCACAGTGATATGGTATAAATATAGGTCTATACATACACACCATATACTTATGAATTTGGTCCCTTGCATAGTACTTTTATATTTGTACAGCAATGTCTTCAAGCAATCCCAGATTTTAGGGGAAATATTTTTGTAAATGCAGTGGTTTAAACAAAAAAGTCCAAACAATCCTTTTACTAAGTTTTAAATACATTTGTGGTTCAAAATGGTTTAGTTAACAATTGAAATCAAGACACTAAATTAGTGAAAAGTGCACATTAGTAAAGTGAAGCTTACAGTGGTTTTTGTAGCATGTGCTGTGATCAAACCAAGTGACACATCGGCAGAAATGTAAAAGTTGGACTACATGTGTGAATCTAGAACAAATTTCTAAAGGTTGCAGCTGGTTTACTTACTATTGTTGCCTTTTCTCGTGTTGTATCAGTGTAGAGCACTCTTAAAATACTCAAACTGCTTTGTCTTTGCTTTGTACTGTTGGTGCCTTCTTAGTCATGTACCCCACAAGTCCTGCATAGCTAATTTAGTTAATGGTAAGTTTAAAATAAAAAAGCAAAGGAAGATTTTATAAAAAATAAATAAATCATTTTCTGTATGTTCTTATTCATTGTAACAATTAAACATTTATATTGTGACAGATTTGTGATTTGGTTAATCTGTATAGATCAATTGTAAGTAGCAAAGGTTTATATTTCGTCTTATTCTTTTGATGTTGTAAACGTTTGTGATTTTCTTTTTTAAATCAGGTAACTTAATGTTCTGTTTTGTTTTTGGCATCTGAATCTTGTAAAAACAAATGCAAAGAAAATCATTAAATTGTGTCCCTGTATTACCAAACCAGCATAGTTCCGTGCATATCTAGAATGACTGGGACTTTGCTTTGGCCTGAGCTGGTCCATTGGCTGACCCAAAACTGCCCCTCCTTGGCCTGCAGGCAGGAGCTGTAACTGCTCAAGGTGTGTCCCCCTGTGTAACTGTACCAGCTTGGAATTCAATTAGGGAAGCCATCCCAAAAAAAAACCCCCACAGATGAGCTTTCTCTATAGACAGGCAGAATGTTTTATCTCTGGTGTGAGAAAATGATGAAATCTTGACCTGCTGAATGATGCAAATCAGTGTCAGTGTTACCTGGTGGTTCATGGGCTTTCCTGACACTCCTTCTATGAACATTGCACTGTTCCCATGAAATCTTGAACGTTCTTACTTGCATAATCCTTAAAAACCAAATGTTTTCATTTCAGTACAAAAAGGTTTTTCTCCGAGCAGGGATTTGAAATGTGGGACTTCTGGGAGCAGTGCAAGTACGTTCATATCACTGTCATGGACTTTTAACTCTTCTTCAAAGAACTGAACTCTTAAAAGGTGTAGCTGGATAATGGCAGCTAAAAACTTCTCTAGTTAATATGAAAAGGCAAAAAATGTGAGCTGAAACTAAAGAAAGCTTAACCATATCTGGCAGGTGTATAATAACTCTGAGATTGGCTTGTAAAAATTCATCTCTCATCCCCCTCCTTGGCTTTCACTGCAGAGTATAGATTTTTTTCCCCCAAGAATAATACAGAATTTTATTTTTGCCGTGTTTCTGTGTGTTCTTAGCATTTTTGTTGGCTGTGGCTGTTGCCCTGGCAGAAGGTGTGTTCACTGTAGCATGCACTTCAGGAAGGGACTTCAAGGTACAACTGCACAGCTGCTGGGCTCCAGGAAAGTTTTGACAAATAACTGATTTGACTTAGTGTTGTTGTGATCCTTGTTTCAGTGGGATTAGTTTGAAATACCACACAAATTTCCTGTGTTTGAGCAGAAGTGCCTGTAAGCTCTCCATCTGTAAGCTTCAGTAGTGGGCACTCCTGAGCTGTTGGGATGTGGGTTGGGGTGGTGGTTCCAGTGAGCACCCCCAGGTGTTGGGGAGATGCTGCACTCAGTACCAGGGAGGCTGCCAAGGAGCTGCTTTTGAGGAGAAGCTGTGTTTATTGGAAGAGATTAATGTAGGTCTGATGGCATCAAGCTGTGTAGAACTCTGACCCAGGACTCTGCAGACCAAAGATGATAATTCTGTGTTGTGCATGTTTCATCTTTAGTTATTCTTTCTATTAAATTGCATATATGTAACACGGAAAAGTTTAAAAAATAAAAACCACTTGAGGAATGTAGAAGAGTCACAACAGTCATCG